CTGCGCTTGCGGTCTAACGTTTTCTCCGCCTCCCTGGCTGCCTGCTCGAGCCCTGCCACGTGCCGCCTCTTTGAAGCTCCCCACCTCTCTGGAAAACAACCCTTCTTTTCAAGAGGAAGCGGTTTCTGTGGGGTGAGCTTCAAACGCTGACCCAGAAAAACCCACGCGCTTCTGACGTCATGGAAGTGAGCTGGTTGGCTTTGACCCATTTAGGGGGTTGACATAGTTTCCACTTCCTGCTGCCTTGTTGCCACCGCACCTAGCTTGGGGGTGGCGGGGAGAAGTTATTTTTGAGAATTAAAACGTAAATAGGGTCACTGGGTTAGGGGTTGAAGGCACCTGTTTGGCGGAGGCTAAAAATAAGCTCACGAGGTCAAGTTTCTAAAAGAAAGTGGGTCTTTGACCTAGGCTGGCTGAACATCAAAGTCTTCCCTCCCCCCTCCCGCCCCCCCGGGTTGGCTGTGCACAAGTTATTCTCGGTCTTGCACACCAGTGCTAACTGCAGTCACCCCCACAATAAGTCCACATCTGCTTTGTTGTTGTTTAGTCTTTTAGTCGTGTCCAACTCTTCGTGACCCAATGGACCAGAGCACGCCAGACACTCCTGTCCTCCACTGCCTCCCGCAGTTTGGTCCAACTCATGTTGGTAGCCTCGAGAACACTGTCCAACCATCTCGTCCTCTGTCGTCCCCTTCTCCTTGTGCCCTCCATCTTTCCCAACATCAGGGTCTTTTCCAGGGAGTCTTCTCTTCTCATGAGGTGGCCAAAGTATTAGAGCCTCAGCTTCATGACCTGTCCTTCCAGTGAGCACTCAGGGCTGATTTCCCTAAGAATGGATAGGTTTGATCTTCTTGCAGTCATAGTTCATTTTATTTGTGGATGATTCCTTGTGTAGAACATGTGACTATGAGTTAAGGGTATCTGCGCCATACATTTAAAACACTTCTTTATCAATCATGGCTTCCCCCACTGCATCCAGGGAAGTGTAGTTTGTTAGGGGTGCTGAGAATTGTTAGGAGACCCCTGTTCCCTTCACAGAATCAAAATTTCCAGAGTGCTTTAACAATCCCCTTTCCCGGAGAAATGGGAATTGTAGCTCTGTGAAGGAAATAAGGGTGCTGGGACTTGTTACGTGACTCCCTAACAAACTACAGTTCCCAGGATGCCTTGAGTGAAGCCATGGCTGTTAAAGTGGTATAATAGTGCTTTAAAGAGCCAGTGTGCTGTGATGCTTAGAGTGCTGGAGTAAGACCTGGGAGACCCGGGTTCAAATCCTCTCTCGGTTGTGAAGCCCACTGGACCAGGCAGACACTCTCTCAGCCTAACCTTCCTCACAGAGTTGTTGGCAGAGTAAAATGGGGAGAAGTCTATGAGCCTCCGTGAGCTCTCAGGAGGAGATATAAATGTAATAAATGACAGATAAATGTTTGGTGTGGATGTGACCCAAGTCCCATTCATTGCACAACAGCTATGGGACTTAGGATAGGAGTGCCAACTTTAAGATAAGCAGTGGAACAGATTCTAGAGTGGCTGGGGCACGAATAATACAATTGTTATTAATAATTATTATAGTTCTGCCTTTTAACAGTTGGGCAAGAGAGAGTTTTGCCGTCTTCTCTTGGTCTTGCCATGCCAAGCAGCTCTGTCCAAAATCCCCTCCACTAAGAGTGTGGACCCTGACCCCTGCTGAATCTGATCATTATTCATCTATGCGGGAGAGAGCACTTTGCTGATGGGATGGATGGTGGTGTTATTTTTTTAAAATAAATCAGTAAAGTATTATCTGAGACAAATAGGGATCTTACATGGCTACCAGCCGTGATGGTTTTGCTCTGCCTCCACAGAGAGAGTAATACCAGTTGCTGTAAATCATAGGAGGAGAGAGGGCTCTCCTGCCCAGGTCAAGATTGCCAGTTTCCCACAAGCCACAGTGAGAACTGGTTGCTGGACTCGATGGGCCATTGGCCTGATTCAGCAGGCTCTAACGTTTGTACGTCTTCTGCAGACACCGAACCCAGAAGACACCTGGATTTTCACTCCTCTGCTGATGTGCATTGGACAGTTGTGATGGTAACTAATCAGATATGGAATCACAGAGTTGCAGGCCAGGGTGGAACAGCTCAGGCCCAAAGGCCAAATGTGGACCTCCAGGTCTGTCTATCTGGCCCTCAGGACTCACCCAAAGCTATTCTCCTTCACCAGCCCTGCTCCATAACCCTCCTTGGGTGTCTCTTGTCAGGCTGGAATGTGTGATAGAACTGCAAGAATGCTTCTTGCTGTCTGGATGGAAAACAAAGTGCATTGGTTCCCCCAAAGAATCCTGTACCCCTCGCAGGTATACAGTTCCCAGCCCATTCAACACATTTTAGTTCCTACATTTCTTTGGGCATGTGCTTTAAAAGCAAGGTGACTGAAATTCGTATCCATTGCTCCACCCATTTTTATCTCTGGCCCTGCCCGTCACTGCCACGTGACCCATGGACGATTTCCCCCAAAGGAATGTAGCCTGAAAAAACTTGGTTTCATTTCCAAACTCCTCTAATTGTTAAGAAGCGTTTCCTAGTGTTCAACTGAAATCCACCCTTCAGTAGTAACCTTAAGAGTGTAAGATCCAAGGTCCTTTCACATGTTACACTGAAAACACACAGGTACAAGCTATCTCTACGCATGTGCAAGCATTTGTGTGAAAGAGTGTACACATTTTGATGTGGGCTTAGGGCTGAAAACCTGACTTAATGCCCAGCCACGTTTCAATTCCAATAACTCTCACTAAAGAAAAATATGTACTGCATTGTAGGCAGATAAAGGACTGAGAAGGTGATTTTAACCACTGGGAAAAACAATTTGAAGTTTACAGCATGGTATTCTTTGAAAATGTTTTACAGATGGTATTTAACTCCAAGTAGGCTTGCTAAGATGTATACGACTGAATCAGATATGTGCTGGACATGCAATGAGGTTGAGGGAATGTTCTTTCACATGTGGTGGACTTCTAAAAGGGTAAAAGAATATTGGGAAATTATCCATAAAGGTTTAAAAATGCTTTCCCCAAAAAAAAACCAGAGTCCTTTTTTGTTGGGGATAATTCAAATGGATATTCCCAGTTGTCAAAAAAAGAAAGAAAGAAAGGTTATTTATGTGTGCCACTACTGCGGCCTGAATTTTGTTAGCCGAAACATGGAAAACGAGCGAGGTCCCAACTCAAGAAGAATGGCAACTTAAGTTGACAGAATATGCGCAGCTTGCAGAGAACAAAAAGAACATACGTTTAGAGAAGATTGGAAAACATTTATTGAATATATGGGGGGGGGAATTGTGTACACTTGAAAACGTTGGCAGCAATAAGATAAATTCAACAGTGTAAATAAGTTTTGATGGATGTAATAATGGAATACTGAATGGTTGCATTTTTGTAAAATATGCAGGGATCTATGATATGTAAAATGAACCATGGAAAGAGAAGAAGGGAAGTCATTGATATTTTAAGGATGTTTAAATGAGTATTTTAAATTGTAAAACAGAAAATGTAATAAAAAATATATGTAAAAAAAAGGGGGGGGGATTGAGAAGGCAATCAGGTCAATGGCCCATCAAGACCAGCTTCCCATTCTCAACATGGCCAACCAGATGCCTATATGAAACCTATATGCAGGACCTGAGCACAAGATCATTCTCACCACCTGTGGTTTCCAGCAACTGGTATTGAGAAGAATTTCTGCCTCTGACTGCGGAGGCAGAACCGAGCAATCATGTCTAGTTGCTATTGATGGGCTCTTTCCATCTCACGACAGCACTCTAGTTTGGAGGAAGCATACTCAAGGATGAGTCCTGCTCTTCATGCCAAAACCGCAACCTGGCAAAAGAAAGTACCCCTGGGCATGTGCAGAGTGCCTTCCCCTAACTTCACAGTAACTTCGCTCACCTGCCTACCTATTATTGGAAGATGGGTTTCAAGATTAAAGGATTTGACTTGCAGACATATGAGGCCTCAACAGCTCTCATTTCAGTAATTAAGTAACAAGCAAATAACTTTTTCTCCCCCTTTCCAAGCATTTCCACACTCCATCTCATTATGCCTCGAAGATATGAAAATGCAATCTGGATGTTTAGCTTTTTGTGTCCTTATAACATTTGTATAAGGGCCCATTGCTAACTTGGGGGAGGAGGGTCAAGAAATAACTAGCAAAATATGAGATCCAGTTCCCGAGAAGGGCAAACAGGATGTTGCAGACTGAGTTGAGGGATACAATGGTCCCTCGGGTTAAGAACTTAATTCGTTCTGGAGGTCCGTTCTTAACCTGAAGCACCACTTTAGCTAATGAGGCCTCCTGCGGTCGTCGTGCCGCCAGCGTGTGATTCTAGTTCTCATTCTGAAGCAAAGTTCTTAACCCGAGGTACTATTTCGTTAGCGGAGTCTGTAACCTGAAGCATCTGTAACCTGAAGTGTCTGTAACCCGAGGTACTATTGTAATTGTATGATATATTTTAGCATCGTGTTAACCTCTAACCCTTCCGGTCTCTCTCATTTCTCCCTCTTGACTACAAATGTGAACTCTCCTTAGAAGCTACTTATGAATAAGAATTCAGAACAACGCATTTCATGTCTATGTTACTGTCATTTCTGAATTTCTTATTTGTCTATCATGTAGCAGCAAGAACTTTCTGACAGCAAGAGTTGTTCGACAGTAGAACAGACTCCCTCAGAAAGTGCTGGGCTCTGCTTCATTGGAGGTTTGAAAGCATTCTACTGTTTCATTTTTGTGGATCGGGTGTGTGTGTGTGTGTGTGTGTGGAGAAAAACCACCACATATTCATAAAGCACCAAACATGCATAGAGGATTTAAACATATACACTTTTAATAATCTGTAACAATACAGGATGCTTTGTGTAGATTATATTCACAAGATAGTGCGATACAATGAAGCAGGATGTTGGTTTGTCGACTTTATCTCTCTCCCAGAGCTCATAAGCATTAAGCAGCTGTACAACAAAGCAGAAATCCAGAAGTTGAAGCTTTTCCCCTGTCAGAATAAAAGCTGGCGGCACCCCTAGCTGAAAGGAGTGCAAGAGTGTGGTTCTTTCCAAGCAGTTGCAGATGTTCCTCATGTATGCTCTGTGCTGAAGATGACTTTGTACATGTCTCTGTTTTGAGGGGTTCTTCCACAATATACCAGATATGTTCCCCATGTTTCTGCCATTCTGAACTGGAAGAAGAGAATGAGAAATCCTGGTTATTGCATAGGCAGTTACAGAAAGATACAAGCATCAAAGACAGGAAAACATACATTCAGCTACAGGGTTTATGGCTTTTATAATAGTAGTAGTAGTAGTAGTAGTAATAATAATAATAATAATAATTTTTTATTTATACCCTGCCCTTCCCAGTACAAGAAACCGGGCTCAGGGCGGCTAACAACAAATTTAAAATACTTAATTGATGCAACAACAAAACAGCATAAAATACAGTATAAAATGTGAATAACAATAAATTCAGAATTCAAAAATCAATTTAGGTGGGAAATCCAATAAACATTAGATGATCACCAGGGCTAGCTGGCTAAATTAGTCCTATTTGGGTCAGCGAGGAGACCAGGGGAGAATTAGCTGAGAATTTGTTACAGGGAGTGGGGAAGGCAATCTGGTCCCATAGATACTTTTGCAATTGCATAATAACAGAGCCCTGCAGAAGAAGACAAGGATGGAGAACCTGTGGTCCTTCAGATCTTGTTGAGACTACAATTCCCATCAGTCCTGTGTAGCATCCCCAATGGCCAAGGATGATGGGAGTTGTAGTCCAGCAACATCTGGAGGGTCACAGGTTCCCTGCACCTGCTAAATATATCTAAATATATAAAGTAAAAGGTAGAGGACCCCTAGATGGTTAAGTCCAGTCAAAGGTGACTATTAGGCATCTCATTTTTCAGGCCAAGGGAACCAGCATTTGTCCACAAACAGCTTTCCAGATCATGTGGCCAGCAATGGCTTCTGGTGCAATGGAACACTATGACAAGTGCAGAGTACACAGAAATGCCATGCTATAAACGGACACCTTAACTCATTCATCAACTTCCACCAATCCCAGCCATCATGGGTAATGGTCAAGGATGATGGGAGCTGTAGTCCCACATCTAGAGGGTCTGTTTAATCCAGCACCCACCCACCTGGCAAGGAACATTGCCCAGCCAAATGCCTTTGTGAAGCCCACAAACAAATCAGCCCTCTCCATCCAGGATCCAGGGGCCTACTGGTCTCAGGTTGAAGGACTGAAAGCCTCAGGATAGTTCTTAGTCTCTGTGGATTTGTCTATCTCCCCATCTCAGGCAATGAATTCTATAAATTAAGCTTCCATAACTAATCCAGTTCTTCAGTCCAAGAGGATGTAAAATCAAACCCTAAGTACCTCCATGCTAACACCTTGGTACCCATTCATCAGAACAGAGTTGGAGAGGACCTCCAGTCTGCAGGTCAACCAGCCAGTTTGCCCTGCGACACCACTTTCCCCAAACCACGCCCACCTGTCAATCAGCTGATGGCATTAGGTGATGGGGGAGGGGCTCAGTCCTGCCTTGCGCAGCTTCCCCAGTGTGTTCCCAGTAGGGAATGCTCTGGCATAACAAAACCTCGGCAAAGAGCAGGATTGGCACCTCTGCTCATCAGCTGGTGAATGGAAAGTTCAAGCCTGCATGTTCCTTGTTGACCACTCCCCTCCAGCAGGTCAACTCTGGCATGGTGCTGACATCATCATGATGTCAGGTGGGGGAGGCCTTCTGGGTAGGGTGGGGTGATTAAGAACTGCCACCACCTTCCAGGCCAAGAAGGTTCCTCACTCCTGTACCAGAGCGCAAGGATAAGGAGTGATGATGGTTCCACTGGAGCAGCAGCCCAACTGATGGTGAACTGTGAATCACCGTGAGATACGGAGACCATATTAGGGAAAAAGCCAGAGCTCCAAAGACAACCTTCGCTGACCAGATACATTCTGGACCACAGCTCCCCTCAGCCCCAGCCAGGACTCTTAAGTGAGTCCTTGCTTACCTCAGCTAGACCAAGCGTGGAAGGTGAACAGCAGGTTGAAGGCAACACACTTGAGGAAAATGACTCGCAGTCCTATCACGGTGAGGGAGAGGAGATTCAACCTCTCGTCTGATTAAAACAAAGGGTGGGGGAAGAGAGAAAGAGAGAATAAATGTCACAAAAGAACAGGTGTCCGTTTGCAAGCTACTGTCATGGACAATTTGGACGGTGAGTGTTGTTGTTTTTAAAGCAACGAGGTCTCTTCTGGACTCTCGCCATTTTTGTGGGAGGGATTCAATCACAAACTGGCATATTTAGGTTGGCCCAATTAAAGTGGATTGACGTGCTCAGATGCATGGCGGAGAGGGCTCCTAGCCACGATGGCGACACCCTGTTGCCACAGTTGGAGGTAGAAATGCTTCTGAATAACACTTGCTGGAAACTACAGGAGGGGAGGGGATGCGGGTGGCGCTGTGGGTTAAACCACAGAGCCTAGGACATGCCGATCAGAAGGTCGGCGGTTCGAATCCCTGCGACGGGGTGAGCTCCCGTTGCTCGGTCCAAGCTCCTGCCAACCTAGCAGTTCGAAAGCACATTAAAGTGCAAGTAGATAAATAGGTACTGCTCCGGCGGGAAGGTAAACGGCATTTCCATGCGCTGCTCTGGTTCACCAGAAGCGGCTTAGTCCTGCTGGCCACGTGACCCGGAAGCTGTACGCCGGCTCCCTCAGCCAATAAAGCGAGACGAGCGCCGCAACCCCAGAGTCGGTCATGACTGGACCTAATGGTCAGGGGTCCCTTTACCTTTACCTTTTACAGGAGGGGAGAGGGCACCTGTGCCCAAATCCTGTTTGCTGGCTCCCCATAGGCAACTGTTCAGTCACTGGGCAAAAAGGATACTGGACCAGATGGGCCATTGGCCTGATCCAATGGGCTCTTCTTACCTTCTTAAGCAACAAACCTACTTTTCTTTTTAGGCCAGAGTGCGCTATTATTACACCAATGGCATGTTGCAGAATACACCCCCCCCCTTTAATATTCTCACTGGGTCTGCTTTAGTCAAATTCTGGCAACTAATCTACAGACAGCTAAGGCAGAATGGCTGGTTGTCAACCCTACTTGCTCACGGGGGCAAGATTATGATTTGATTTTCATTCGGTTCCCAGTCAAGTTGTACATCCCTTTTTGCACATACGTACCTGTCTCAAAACCGCCTGTTGTCTTTTCTGAGCAGGTGGTTGCAGCGTCTGTAACAATGATGGGAATGACAATTAATGATGACGATAAAGGATTATTACATTTTCAGTTTTCATTGATTCTCTTTCCTTTATCATATAATTTTTAGTGAAGTTTTAAAATTACAGGGAAAGGGGGGAGGGAATTGGAGAAAGAAAAGAGAGAAAGAAGTTGCAAGAAAAGCATTATGCAGCATCAATGCAAAATATGAGGTAAAAGGATGGGATTGAATTTCCTGATCCCTTGACCTCAGGAAGCAAGGCTGGTGATGAAGCTATTGCAGCTTCCAACCTGTACACCACAACTGGCCAGGTGTGGTGTCACCTCACTGAATTGTTTTAGGTGGTTGGTAAGAAGAAAACTACTGCTTCTAAACATGCTTTCACACCACTGTTCTGCTTTGGCTGGTTCGCCTTTGTGGACAGTTAAAGCACAAATAATCAATCCTTTCCCCAAAATAATCCTGGGACACTGCAGATCACCCCTCACTGAGCTACAGTGTCCAGCACTCCTGAGAAACTGCAGAATTATTCTGGGTTGAAATAATGTGCTTTAAAGAATGGTTCTTTATGTGACCTTTGTTTTGATGGCTATTTTGGGTTGTGGTTATGGGGGCTTAGCAGAGACGCCAACAGCTGTGGTTTCAGCGGGCACTGTTGTCTCCTCATTGCTTTTTAGAGTTTTGGATGGTAAGCTGCCTTGATACTTTTTGAAGACCAGGCAGAATATATAGATTTTCAGATCATCGTCCAATTGGCTTGCAAACATTTACACAGTATGCTTTTTACCTGCTGACTCCGATGGAAATCTATTGTTATTTTGCTCAGCATAACAACCATCAGTCTCTTTGGCTTTGCCCCAGATCACTTTGCCATAGCTGGGTATTTCCTTGCCACTTTCTTTCACTACGACGATTGATCCGTTGACCTCATGTTCATCAATTCCATCAGCCCCCACTCTGATGGGTGCAGGTAAAAAGTCGGTGATAAGGCAGGCAGAAATGTCTCTGTCTTCTTCCTTGGCTGACTGTAGTTTGTAGACGGAAGGATCAGATGTCTCAAGCTCTGAATGGGGGGAAGCAAAGGATAACCAGAAGTTAGAAACTGCAGCTGAAATTGACATATGCTGTGAAAGTCAATGCCATACTAACAATGAGCAAAGGGGTGGGTGAGAGGCAGGATTAAATTATCCATCCATTCCGCAAAAATCTGACTCTGATTACATATGATCTCCCCTCTCTCTTTCACCGGTCCTTCAAGAAAAAGGCATTCAAGGCATCTCAGAATGAAAATTCATGGAAAACAATATAAAAATGCACCACTCAACAATAATCGTCAGTAGCAGAGAATCTCTGCCCCTCCAGATATTGCCAGACTCCAATTCCCATCATCCCTGAGCATTGGCCATGCTGGCTGTGGTGGGCTTATGGGAGCTGGAGATTCTGGAGAGATTCCATTTATCCCTGGAATAAGCGAACCAAAGAAAGGTTTGTATCCAACTAAGTCTTAGGCCACTTTCACACCATGCACTTATAGTGATGCCACTTTAAACCGTCATGACTTCCCCCAAAGGATTCTGGGAGCTGTAGTTTGGTAAAGGTGCAGAGTTCCTAGGAATCCCCTGATCACCTCGCAGAGCTACAATACCCAGCGTTCCCTGTAAAAAGGCGCTGATGGTTAAACAACTCACTGTAGCTCTGTGAGGGGAATAGGGGGTCTGCTAAGACCTCTCAGCACCTTCAACAAACTACAGCTCCCAGAATCCTTTGGGGTGGGAAGCCATGACTGTTTAAGATGAATCATGCATCATAGAGCTAGTCCACCAGTCTCGGAATGCAGGCATAATGGTATCATAGCACTATAAATGTATGGAATGAATGCAGCCCAGAGTAAACAGAGAAATTAATCCTTCTGTGTTAGCCATTCTTCTCAACAAGCATATGTTGGAATGTATGTTGCAACAGCTTGATCTGAGTAGAATTACCATTAGCTACAACCCCAAGTGAGCAGATGCTTGTTTTGCATTGTTCTGCAGTGAGCAACTGGCAAAAAGTTTGCACCGAAGGACCCCGTCTCCTCCACCGAGCTCTCGCTTGGTGCAACCGAGAGCACACTCCTCCAGCTCTCAGGAACCATTTCCCAGAAGCACCCACAAAGTTCACACCTCGCTGTGGGCTGTTGTTTCGCTATGAGGATGACAGCACAACCTGAGAAGCAACCCACAGCCCTTCTCTACAATTCAGTGAGTAGATGAAGGCATATCCGCAGGTTCCCCAACCCTGCTATAGAGCAACTCCAGGGTCAGCAGCCGACGAGCGACGACTAATCCCACCAATAACTACAATAAAGCTTAAAATATGCATAATGGTGAATTGGATGGTACTGAACAGGCAAGGTCCAGAATTCCATGAGGACTCTGGGGCATGGTTGGAATGTTTGCATAAGCCATTTTATTTATTTATTGAATTTATATACCGCTCTACACCTGGACATCCCATCATTGTGGTTCCTGCATTTAGGAGGTTGAACTTGATGACCATTTTGGTCCCTTCCAAATCTATGATTCCCCCTTCTCATTCAAATATACTTAATTCTGCATATGCCTCTTGCACAGTGAAGAATAACTGGATCCAAACATATTCCAGAGCATATTATTTCTTTTTTTCTCTCTCTCTCACATACACATACATACACCCTGGCACACTTGCAGAAAGCTAGGTAAAGGTACTCCTGCCCGTACGGGCCAGTCTTGACAGACTCTAGGGTTGTGCGCCCATCTCACTCAAGAGGCCAGGGGCCAGCGCTGTCCGGAGACACTTCCGGGTCACGTGGCCAGCGTGACATCGCTGCTCTGGCGAGCCAGAGCCGCACACAGAAACGCCGTTTACCTTCCCGCTAGTAAGCGGTCCCTATTTATCTACTTGCACCCGGGGGTGCTTTTGAACTGCTAGGTTGGCAGGCGCTGGGACCGAACAACGGGAGCGCACCCCGCCGCAGGGATTGGAACCGCTGACCTTTCGATCGGCAAGCCCTAGGCGCTGAGGCTTTTACCCACAGCGCCACCCGCGTCCCTTGCAGAAAGCTACAATAATAATAATAATAATAATAATAATAATAATAATGAAACATTTTTATTTATATCCCGCCCTCCCCAGCCAGGGCTCAGAGTGGCTAACAACAGTAAATTTAACACAGTTTACATAAACTCACAATCAATTAATTGAAATACATTCTAAAGTCAATTCATTCTAAAATCAATTCAGCACGCTAACATTAAATTTGCACCCTAATCCCAAAAACTTTATATGAAAATAACTCCTACTGAAATGAATGGAAGTTCCACAAAAGGTGTTTGGGATCAGGACAATAATTTCCATTTAGGGCAGCAGATTCCTAGATTCAGGATATTCTAGAAAAGCTTTAACAACAATTACTGTACATTCTGTAATGTACATACTGTACACATTAGATTATTTCACTGTGATGTTATGTAAACCAAAATATGTTTCTGTTTTAACTGACCTATTTTTATCTAATATTTATTGGTGTAAATAGATGTTTAAAAAGGTATTTTCCTGGACAAGTCTGAGTCAGATCTTTGGTCCATCAAGCTCAGTATTGTCTGCACTGACTGGGAACAGGTTATCCAGGATTCCAGGCCAGAGTCTCTCCCAACCCTACCTGGAGATGAAGGGGATTGAACCAGGGATGTTCTGCATGCAAGGCGGATGCTCTACCACTGAGCCACGGCTCCATCCCCATTTGAACGTTTCCAATATTTGACTTACTTGGTTTAACACTCAGTTGAGTCCCACCTCCAAACAACAATTTGTTAACTCCATAAGTCACCCAGTGGGTTAGGGTATGATAAAAACACATCTTGACATAATAGGGAACATCATGGGAGCACAGGAAGCTACATCAAACCAAGGTAAGCCAATGGCCCAGCTAGCTCAGTAAGGCTGATGCTAACTTACTACGCCTTTCCAGGATTTCAGCAATGTCTAGGCAACACGATGACCATGTACATACGCAACAGACAATCTTTACAGAATTCCTTCAAACCATAACAGCACAAAATGAAATCTTTAGTCTCAAAGTCTCTGAAAATCTTTAAATGAAGAGAGGTACCAGACTTTGTACGATGACAGACAAGCTGTGAAGCTTTGTGTATTCAGCAAGAAGGATATAGAATTGCTTCATAAACTGAAAATCAAATTTTATTTTCAGTTTTTGAAGCAATTCTATATCCTCCCAGCACACTGACGAAGAATTCTACAAAACAGTAGTCAATATCCAGAATCACTGTTCAGTGTTGGACATCTTATTTGCCGAGTACACAAAGCTTCGCAGCTTGTCTTTCATCGTACAAAGTCTGGTACCTCGCTTCATTTAAAGATTTTCAGAGACTAACACGGACCTCCAACCCCTCCCACCTTTATGTTTAGGGGTGAAGTCATAAGAGCATAAGGATGTATCCAACTAAGTTATTGTCAAAATAGGTACACTGAAATTAATGGATCTAAGTTAGTCATGCCCATTCGTTTCAATGTGTGTACTCTGACAGCATTGTAAATACAGTAACCCATGTTCTTCTTTCCCTGTCCTGCCCCCCAGGGTTTGGCTCAATGGGTGGCTGGAACAGTCCGAATATGAGTTGGCTGAACTGTGTTGGGTGAAACTCTGTTGGGCTGCATATGCACCCAATCTCTCTGTGGATCAACAGGGCAGGAGGGCAAGGTACATTGCTGACAACGGCTTGGGGTAGCTACATTAGCTCTTTGAATCTCAGTCGACACCACCAATGTAATCATCATCAATGTTGCTGTTGTCATTCATCACCATCAATTATCGCCATTTATTATTAACACAGTTATCGTAATCTACTGCCAATGCTCCATAAATAAATATATACATATGCAGTGTTTTAAATTAATCCTGTTTGCTTATCTTTGAGCTGCCCATGGATTTTGGTGGCCATCTCTGAACGTTTGAAGTATTTTGAGAGAGTCTAAAAAACATAAGAAGAGCCCGTTGGATCAGTTCAGTGACCCATCTAGTCCAGCTTCCTCTTTCCAAAGTAGCCAGTTAGATACCTGTGAGAAACCCACTAGCAGGAGGATCCAAGTTCCAACCTTCTGTAGTTTCCAGAAAATGGTATTTTCCAGCAGGTGCTTCCAGTTGTGGAGGCAGAATATAGCCATCTTGGCTAGTAGCCATCAACAGTCTTCTTCTGCATGAGTGTGTGAATGCTCTGTCAAGGTGGTAGACAAAACCCATACAGTGCTAACTATACTAAGTGTTCAAAGGAACTAAGAGGTACCAAATCCAGTAGTAAGGGGGCATGAGAGTTTACTCGCTGCAAGCCAATCAGATCTTTGGGGTAGTTGAAAATTCTAATAACTGGACCAGAATGAATGGACCTGACCAATGCTTAGAAAACATTTTGGAGCCTGTGTGGTTGGAAAATGACATCACAACTTCCCATCCAAGAGATGGCTATAGAACTATAGAATGCATTAAAATTGTGTGCATGGAGGGCGGGGAGGAAAATAACAGACATTTTTACACCATTCTCCATGTTCCCTCAAAACCAGCACAAACAGAAGTGTCAACTTACCAGGGGTAACTACAAGTCTGGTCCCACCTCCCAATGTGAATTTAAATCCAGCAGTATTATCACTGTGAGACACGTCTATACAAAATGGTGGTTCTGTGGAAGCTGACGTGTGCCATGGTTCAGCCTGTTGGATGGCATGCTATTAGAACCATGTGGGGACTTTCCCACTTAAAAAAAGTAATATTTCAGAATGAAAAGTCCACTTTTGAGTGTCTTGTAAATATTTTGATCTACAAGAGGTTTGAGACTCCTGGGTAAAGTAAAAATCAACAAATCTACAGAATACATGGTTGGATGGATCAGTACATGTCTCCTTGTGTGAGACTAACCTGGTTTAATTTTATACTACCTGATGCTCTAAGCAGTCTAAAAAAGCATCAATAGTCTGAGATCCAAAGAACAGACCAATGAGTGGTTTGGATATGGGTTTTTTTGCTTGTTTTCATCCACACTCCTTACTTCCCACCCAACAAAAACTACTTTTCAGAACAGTCTCACAACTTCTTTGTGATGAGGCCTACTGTTCTAAGATGAATAAGAGAAAATGGAAATCCAAAAGGGTGAACCCAAAGCCTTTGGGAGTGCATAGAGTAGCCTTTGGGATCTTGGCCAAAATAAGCAAATAATGTTATTTGCTCACCATGTCCCACTGACAACCTTGTCTCTCTCTCAAATATAATTGTATTACCTGCATTGGTCACCGGTCTTCTTATAAATACACGTCTTTAAATAAATGCAAAGACGTGAATTTCTACTGTCTGTGACCATCATTTGAATAGTTTCCTAATGTGAGAATTGAG